CAAATAAATTATTGTTTTATAATGTTATTATAGTTTTGAAAATCACTGCCTGAAAATGGTCATTAAATTAAAAAAAATTATCAGATCTTGTTTAATTTTACCTTATTTATTTCAGAGCATCACGTTCTATCAATCTTATTTAATTTTACTTTATTTGTACGCAAAATTAAGTTCATAAATTTTGTACCTAGAGTTTTTACCGTTTTACCAAAGTAAAGATGTTTGTACAAGAATTACGCGTAAAAAAAATGCGCGAAATGCAGTAAAAAGTACTTTAATGAGATATATTAAATCCTATTTGGAAAAAATTGTGGCTTTCATAATCTCATCACTATACAACGTATCGCATTTAATAATTAAAAAGAGTTATGTGATACAAACGCTAGGTTTCAGTGTTAAAGTAAATCAGATCATCCTACTCTTTTTTGCCGACATGTCGGTGACGCGCGCCCCGCCCACTGGGTTAGTCTATCTCTTATAAGGTCCATGTTCCAGACCAATGAAACATGCAACGGAACTGCTCTACGAGATCGAGAAAGAGCAATACATCACCGTGTTAGACTTGACGAAGGATATTGGCAAATCTTGATGAGAGAAGAAGGCAAACATTTTACAGCATTTGTGACGCACTCAGGCCATTTTCAATGGAAAGTATTACCATTTGGAATGAAAAATGTAGGAAACGCATTTTAAAATGTAATGGACAAAGTTTTAAGCCCATAAAAAAGTACTGTCGTTCATATATTGACTATTTGGCAATTTTTTTCGAAAACTGGAAGGATAATTTAAAGTACGTAAAAGAGGTATTTAAAACATTACGAAGAGTAGGTCTTACTGTAAATTTAGAAAAATGTGATTTTGGGAAAAGGGAAGTGAAATTCTTTGGTCCTATTATAGGTTCTGGGAAACACTCACCGGATCCAGAAAAAGTGGAGAAGATGCCTAAATCGACTACAAAAAAGAAAGTACGCCGCATTTTAGGACTTGCCAGCTGCTATTGTGATTGCATTCCAAATTTTGCCAATTTAGTGTTACTCTTGACAAACTTGACAAGGAAGAGAGTACCCACTAACATCCCATGAGGCAATGAAGAAGAAACAGCTTTTCAGAAACTAAAGCAAAATTTTCCGATATCCCACCACTGTTTACTCCAGTACTAAATAACCCACAGCTATTGGTTCCTGTCTATCTCAAACAGATGAACAAGGAAAAGAACACCCAACAGTATTTTTCAGCGGAAAATTAACGCCTTGTCAGAGCAGATGGCCTAACAATTGAGAGAGAAGCCTACAGTGTTTTGGCAGCTCTTCAGAAGTTTGAAACATGGATTTTTGGATCCGAAGACCAGGTCGTATCCGACCATAATTACCTGAAGTATTTAGCGCAATCTCAACCCCACAGAGTCAAGCTCGTGCTTTGGGCGTTCGCTTTAAAAAGATATAATGTAAAGATTTCTTACCGAAATGGACCACAGCTCGGAAACGTTGACTCTCTGTCCAGATTACCTCAGTGTGCTCTATCCAGATTACCTCAGTGTGCTCTATCCAGATTACCTCAGCATGGTATACAGACCAAATCGAGCTAATACAATGTCTGTGGAACTCTTATGGAAACATGCATATATTATTGTTGGTATTATTGTATTAGAAAATATTATTACATATGCATGAATAATTAACATAGTATTGTGCATTTTGATGTAAATGATGTTATATAAAATTAAGAATTTGTTATATTATCATATATAAGTATTGTGTATGTAGAGGTCTTCGTATATGTGATTTGTATACTTCAATTAAATGGCACATTTAGGATAGGACTTTGTGAGCGTGTGCAGAGGTGCAATGAAACAGGTACATTGAAACATGTACAGTGAAAGAGGTACAGTGAAACTAATATAATCTTACTATAATTTAGAGATACATAAACAATGAACTTAGATTTTGACTGTGCGTATGGTCTCTAAGGAGACGTATACGCTCAAGGAGGAACTTGCAAGATTCAAAAAACTGATAGAAACGCCAAGTAAGCGAACTTCGCCAACTGTGGACTTTGGCGCAGAAGCACCAGTGAAAGAACTTCGCCAAAATGGGCAGTTGAAGAGGCGGAGAAAAGGAGAGGTGTGTGCGGTTTTACCGTCATATTCTGCCGGTGTATTAATATGTAAAATTTACCTGTTATATTTTTGTGTGTGAATAAAATAAAATCACGTTATAGTGAAGGTAGTATCTTCATTTTCTGATGACTAATCGACCATTTATTACGAACTATCAAGCTTTTCTACGTCATGGAATGATGCAGTTTTAAAAGCAAAAATCGAGTTTCAAAAATTGTTCTTTAAGTAAAGTGTGAGTGTTATGGTCATGTTTCCGAGGATAAATTAAATATAAACTTTATTCGGAGCGAGAACATTCTAGAACGCATTCTTAGCCGTTTTCTCAAGAATATCCTCGAAGCTAAGCTATATATATGCTGCCTGTACCCGTAGTAGTATTATCTTAAATTCAGTAGTGCAGTAGACGTGACGTGAATTCAGAGATTAGCTTGAGAGCGATCGACCGAATCGGGAGCCACTCACTTGGTAATGGTGTACACACAAGGTTACCCCATCCCTTATCGAATACAATTAAGTTTTTCTTAATTGATGTAAGAAATAACAATTCTGATGCAATTTAGGAATTTTGCAAGAATTTTGAAGTTTTAATTAAATGACAATTGAGCAACTATATGGGAAAAACTTGCAATTGCGCAAGTGGTAGAATAACTCGATTTCGCACTAAGTGAATTTAAGATCATTCAACATTTGTTCTAATATAGGTATTTTGACACAAAATCGGACTTTTTCTGAAATGACATGACAATATTTTTCCATATTTCGATTCTACGACTCAAATTACGCCAAACTGCCAAGTTTTGTAAAAATCGCACGAGTAGTTTTGTCATGGATAATGAACGGAGAAATCTGAAAAATTTCCATTTACTTTAATAACGCAGCTCTGACCGGTATAATGTTTAGTGTGCTCCTGGCTTCTGTGCAATTTGTTAGAATCCTGGAGAAGGCTTGGATGTTTATAAGTGTGTAGTGTCTGTGCGGCATACGGGCACTCAAAATACGCAGCTAGCTGGTTCTCGAGTAGATTATTGATAGGGAAAGAGACATCAGAGACCCTCTGCCCGTCCTTCTTCGGGGTGTTTTCCGTCAAAAACTGGGAGGAAGCAGAGCAAAATGTATTTGTGAACTCTATCCTATTCAAGGCCCATGCCAGTAACAGATGCAATCTTACTTCCCTTGCCGCAATGATAAAATTAGTGGCATTTTACGTGAGAAAACATGACCTGTATGTTTGAAATGAGAAATAAAACAGTTTTTGATAGCTAGTGACAACTGGACACTTAATCACAGTGTCGACTTTCGATCTATAAAACGTATTCGTAGAGTTTTTCGGTAAGTAAATTGGATTTCTTTGAAACTTTTCACATTAGGAATTTTTTTTTTAAACTCAATGACATTAATTTTTTAATGTTTTCAAAACTCTAATATCTTAGCTTTTTCGCATTTCATTATTATTTTCCGCGATGGGTCGCCCACCAGCGGTTGAACGGTAAAGTCGCTGAACACTGGTAGTTCGGTCCGAGGTTCGAAATCCGCGGTCGGGTGTTCCGCATGGGAGTTTTTAACATGTGTAACGTGTATAGGAACCAGTTTCCTTCGAAAGTCCTCCACGCAGGCATCTCTTCCCTTACGCAGATAGCTCTCGAGGCTTTGCCGTAATCAGATAAACCAAACCATCCGCAACAAATCACATTAAATTTGATTTCGATTTCCATATAGAATAGTTTCTGCTTTCCGACTGCTGAAATTTTCTTTCTCAGTTCTGAAATACAGAGACCGGGGCCACCAGTGGCCGAGTGGTCCTCTTCGGTTAACCCAGATGAAGCTTCGATAGAAGTCGCTGAATATTGGTAGCTCAACCCGGGACTAGAATCCCGGCGAACGGGCTGCTGCATGGGCATTTGTAGGTAAAGAAAATTAGGGAATTTTACTATAGAAATAATATGTATGATGATGCTGGAGAAAATAAAGAAAAAAAATTATACTGAGCATTCAAAGAAAGCGAAATAGGGATGAATTCAAGTTTTACTAAACAAAAACAATGCTGCTTTGAAAATTATTTTACTCTCTTTGTCGATGGAAGAACTGAAAATAGTCCTCTTAATATTTTTACTGTATAACTATAAATATTTAAATTACTATTTGCCTTGTGCCATCGAGTTCAGCAATGCAAATATAAAATAAATTAAAACTATTTTGTAAATTTTAGATAGTATATTTAATTTTCAATCCTAAATTAATAAAGTATTACTTGTTGTACAACGTAAGCAAAAGTTTTCAGTAACAAATGAAAATAGATTCCTAACGATACCGTTTTCATCAGGTTAAATTGCGCAAATGATTAAAAAAAATAGTACAGAACTAGAATATATGAGGATTCAATATTTAGAGTGTATCATAATATAAAATTTATAATTTGTGTAAATATAGGACTCAATGCATTTACGTAATTAAGATTATGATTAAAAAATATACTTAGCAAAGGTAACGCAGACGATATTCTGTTTAGTTTGAAATTATTCCGACAAAACGTGATAAAACTGCATCGCGAATATTGAATAGCAAATAGTATTCGATCTCGCAATTTGTATTTAGAGTGACATAATGATGTAGATGTTAGAGCAAGCTCAAAATATGAGCAAGTATGATTTCAGCTTTTCAAAGAATAACTATAAATTTTTAGCTATTCATATCCGATGTATGAAATGAAATATGCAAGGTTAGCTATGAAATCCTTTTATCACTTATTGTTCTGTGTTCAAAGTTATAGCGTAATTTTTTCTCTGCCTGCTTTTTCAATAGCATATAATTTTGCGAGTCAACAAAGTTATTCAAAAATAGGTAATATAAAGATGGCAACATATCATGTTTATTTACTTTTGCTGAATTATTATTGTACAATTCTCTAAATGCATGAAAAATTATTCCTTTAAGTTGCATTTATTTTTATCAAGATCTGTTTTTGATAAGAATTGTAATATCTATGTCATCTGAGAGAAATTCTGAGCTTGTGGATGAAATTGCTATAGTTTCTTCAGCGAAATGATTGACCCAAAATCATTCAATGATTTCACACTGGAAAATTCTATGTCTGACAGTTTCACTCAATGGACTAACGATAGCTTGCAGCTTCCTCATTCAACTTCTATGTTAGAAAATTCTCCGAATTCGACTAATGATACGTCAGAACTACCTCACTCTGAATGCAGAAAGATGCCGTCTTCAAAATTTGCGCAGTTTTTCAAATTAAATTCTTGGCCGTTACATTTAGATACAAATATTAAAACTGCGAGCCATGAAAAACCACTGGAAGGAAAAAGTAGTGATATTGATCCATCATCAGTTCTAGATTTACTGCAGCGCGCGATCGAAATATGCCTTCACACTGCATGTGAAGATCATGAGTATGATTTATTAATGAGGGATTTCGGAACTGTGGAAGTAATACATTTTAGGAAAAGTGGTCCAAATTTTGCTAAGCGTAATTTTGATTTTCATGTCTACGCTCCTGCAGCTTTTCGTTTTTTTCGACAATTGTTTGGCATAACCACAGAACGCTTTTTAACATCTCTTTGCGAAGCACCTTTGGCTGTTAGTAATGCAAACGGCAAGAGTGGTAGTAAGTTTTACACAACAATGGACAGTCGGTTCATAATTAAAACTGTAAACCGTAAAGATATTGACTTTTTGATTAATCTCCTCCCAGGTTATTATCTGAATTTGACGCAACGAAGAAATACATTTTTGCCGAAATATTTTGGATTATATAGTTACGTTCGTGGTCATAAGCAAATAAGATATTTAGTGATGAATAACTTATTGCCTCCAAATATCAGTTGTCATGAAAAGTACGACCTGAAAGGTGCAACTTACTACAGAAGAAAAATTTCATACACAGAAAATGATAACTATGAAAGGAATGCTAATGTAGCTCATTGTAAATTACGCGGAGTTTCAATCACATTCAAAGATTTAGATTTTCGAGAAAAATGGCCTTTTGGATTTTACTTGAAACAGAAAGTTTATAAAATGTTGATGAGTTCCATTGAAAAGGATTGCAAGGTACTTGAAAGTTATGAAATTATGAATTACAGTCTTTTGCTTTTTATTCATATTCCTGATCAGAATTCTCAAACTTTTAGAAAAAATTCAAAAATATCTTCAGTGGGAAGTGTTGCATTTCCTGAAAATTTAGTATCATCGAAACTTTCTGAAGAATTCATTCTAAATACGACTGGTCCTTTTGAAGCATGCTCTATGAGGGGTGAAAGAGTATTCTTGTATATGGGTATTATCGATATCCTGCAAAGCTACCACTGGAGGAAGAAGTTAGAGCATAGCTACAAAGCTATCTTATTCTCTAGTAGCATAATTTCAGTTAACAAACCTAAGTTTTATTCTGAAAGATTCCAGAATTTTTTGAAACAACACGTGTTCAAATGTATTCCAGAATGGCTACTGATTAAAGATAAAAAATTGCCAGCAAGAAGACAGCAAAGGAAAAACAAATAAATTACTAAAATAGAAAGGAAATTGTTTTCCTTTGTGAAGGAAACTTCATCGAAATGTTTTAGTTTTAATTTGTCATATATACGAAAATTGCAACTCTGAATTTATATTTAAAGTTATTTTACCGTATTTTATTACTGTATATATATTTAAAAGGTGATATTTGATAAACAACTATTGTACAGCCCTTTGAAAGTTGCAGTATTTTAATTCTGTATTAGTATATTCTCTTGCACTGAAAAATAATTTACAATTATTCTTGTGTGCCATCATGATGTTAAATGCATTGATGTATACTATCGTAGAGGGACATGATAACATTTGGAGGCAATATAATTTTATTTGTGTTGTTATACATTTTTTTTTACATTCGCTACATTATTTCTTTAAAAAATAATACATGATGCTAACATATGGTGACAACATCCTTTTATTTGAAATGTGAGACGAATTCAAAAATCATACGGGAAAAAGTGAAGTTCAAGATAAATAGCACTTCTAGTGCTAAAGAGAAAAGAAAAAATTTGAATTGATTTTAAGGTCGCAGCAGAGAGTTTGCCATGGTTTTTTTATGTTTTTGCTGAGATCGCAATTCATTGCATTTACACCACATAAAATTCAACAGCAAAATCACAAAACTTTTTAGAGCAGGATTCTTTCAGGATTTTCGATTAAATGTTAAGATTTGCCACATAATTTAATATTTTTTTCAGTCTTTTTTGAGTTCATCACATCAGCTCTCAGTTTTCTTAACAAGATGATATACATAATTTTTTTTGTCTTTTTAACTTTATTATTAAACATCACTTTCTTCATACTTACGCCATATAAAACTGATCATTAAAATCACAAAATGTTTTCAAAAAATCACAAAAAAAAAGTGTTTAGAATTACTGATACGGTGTTGCGATTAATATTTTACACAACTTTTTTTGATCTTTTTATTATAAACTTTTTTTTTGTCTTTTTAACTTTGTTAAAAAACAAATTGATGTTAAAAAATTTTGAACAAATTGATGGTAATGTATTAAACACCAATTTATTCGCCCCTACGCCATGTAAACTTCATCCAAATCACAAAATATTTTGAAACAGCATATCCCAACACAGTGTTAAGTGTTACCATGCATTTTTATATTTTTTTAGTGTTTTCTCAGTTCATTATATCAATGTTTAGTATTCTTAAGAGGATGGCCTACTAATTCTTCTGCCTTTTTAACTTATTATTGAACATCACTTTCATCATACTTACGCAACATAAAATTTAAAAGCAAAATCAGAAACTTTTTATAATTAGCGTGTTTAGAATTACCGATACAGTGTTAATTGTTGCCATTAATTTTTTACAAAACTTTCTTGCCTTCTTATTAAATTTTTGTCTTTTATTTATTAAACATCACTTTCTTCGCATTTACCCCTCATAAAATCTAACAAAGGGTGTTTTCAGAATATTGAAAATAATAATAATAATAATAATAATAATAAAAAATCTGAAATGTTTCAGATTTTAAATTACGTCCAAAGGGGCGTTTTTTTAACGTTTTGAGTGTTACCTTTATTTATTAAATATCATGTTCTTTGCACTTAAACCATAAAATTCAGTTCAAGAGCAATATCGCAAAATAATGTTAAATTAAGCATATCTTTAGAATTTCCGATATACACAGTCTCGCGAGCTGGAGATAAAAGTATTTTTTTTTCTATATAACGTTGCCATTTCTCGCTTTTAAAGCATTGAGTTTTGTAAATCAAAAATTCGTTAAAGTTTTACAAAATATAAAATCTATAATAAAACAAATTCCAAATTTGGGATTTCAGATGCCCATATTCGCAGTAGGATTTCGTCATTCAAAATTCGATGGCTCTATGTACCATTGTTTTATCACAATGCGAGAAATAGACAATCATTTATGCAGATTTTTCATTATTTAATTTCTTCAAATATAATGCAGGACTCTAACATTTTGTGGCAACAGTTTGAAAAGTGAACCGACGTTTATGAGTCCGACGCAAAATCGCAAAACGAAAACAATAGGACTAATAATAATAATAATAAAAAAAAAAAAAAACAATGGTGGACCTGGACTGAATAACCAGGCCTCTTGAGGATTAGTCCCGTTTCGTCCTTTCCTGATTCATCCTCAACTCAAAATGGTGCCGATTCTTCCCGTGCTTTTCCACTGACTCCCTCTTTCTTGCGTCACCCGCTTCTCAAAAACTCACTTTCTGCTTTCCTGAATTAAAGCATTTTAGAAGAAATGGCCCCTATCGATTTCACTTAGCTTCTGGTTTGTAATATTTATCAAATATTTTCTTTAGACAATTTATTCTTTTCAGAAGGAATGATTTTGTTATAAAATGCCCAAATTGTTTACTTCCTTGTAGGATGCAAAGGAAGTATTGTGATCGCGAAAACTGTTGGGTATCATATTTCAAGGGAAATATGCATTTTGCCCGTTCCTGAATGCATTTGGATTTTTTTTTTTTTTTTTTTCGTGACATCTGTATGTATGCACAGACTAAAAGACTGTTTTCCCAAAACGTATTATAGAATGGATTTAAAGTTCATTCAAAACGGGATTTTTTTTGTGACCTCTGCAAGTAAGCACTATAACTTAAAAACGATTAGTCGTAGAATATTGACATTGTGTTTTATATATATCCACTCCCTTACCCGGCCTTTATTTTCGTAATCGTTAGTCGTAGTCATATACTTTCAATTACAGAAGTGTTTTAAATGACTGAAATATTCATGTTTTGGCAATGCTAAATTAAAAAAAATTCATTTTTGACAAACAACGAAATTTAATTTTTATGCTGCGGTCTTCCGATTCCTATATTTACATTAAGGAAAGTTTTATACTCGCTATAAAAAAAATAAAATTATAGTAAGTTTGACTTCCGTCACATTTCCATGAAGACAACAAGTGACTGTCATATTTAATTTCAAAATTTGCAGTTTTTTATGTCATTTTCAACTTGTCTTGAGGGTTTGGTTGTTTAAGTTAGAATAATTCGAGTAAATAAGTTTAACTGGGATGTAGCAAAAAATTTGTAATAATTTAATAGGCCGTGCAAGGAAGTAATGTGATCTCTACATCAGGGTTTTTTGTTTCCCATACTTTTAAAGTAAGGCTCCACTTCTCTGAAAGACAATAAAAATATAACAAATTTATAGTTCAGACTAATAGGTACTTGCTTATTAAAAGTGCAGAGAGTCCTCTTTAAACCCGACTATGCGCGGTTGTAGAGAATTTTGTTACTCTGTAGACACATGGTCTTAGGGAAGTGATATTTAGTTCAATTGCTTATGTTTTGAAAAATACAGAAAAATACTGTTTCAGAAGTGTCGTCTCAGGTCAGATGTTCACTACTAGAGGGTTAATTATAATAATTTTATAATAAGGTAATGGAATTAATTTAATATAATGACAGTTTAAAAAATAATTGTTTATTAAGAGAGATTTATTGAGCTGTTATATAAGTTTAATTGTTTTCTATATATTTTTTACTCTCTATAACCGATATATGCCCATGCGTACTCAACAAAACTCATAACAAATTATTAAAATCATAAATTAAAACTAATATTAATTTTTATATTATTGTATACTATATTACTATTTATGAAAGACAAATTTAAGTAATATTAAACGCACTTAAGGTCTAAACCTGTAGAAGTTTGAATTTTACGATTCATATATTTATAAATATTTTTTTCATATTATTACAAAACGTTTTTAGATGCCTGTTATATAAGTACTTATCATTTGTAATCTTAAAAAACAGTGATAACTTGATATATATTTATCATTACATTCTATAATGAACGAAAGTATGTTTTACATGATCGCAAATACATATCATAGATTTTAAAACTTCTTATTTCATATGCATAAATTTCAAAAGGTGCATTCTAAAGCTGAAATTTAGGAATTTTTGCAAAGAAACGTATTAAAAATCTTGTACCAGTGATAAGATGTCGTTAAAATTTTCTATGTTGGAGTAAGTTCGTCACGAATCCTCCTTATATGCTTCACTGTTTCCAACTTAGCTATGTTAGGAATGCAGGTATAGTTTCTTTTTTTGCAATCTATCATCTTCAGAACTTGTCAGTAAAATTCCATTGCAGTAATCTTCTCGGCAAATCCAGCATTTACTGTCATTTTTAAAAATTCTTTTTATGTTTATGATACCCTTCGAATATCAGCACTGAACGGCCAGGTTTGACTTCAGTGAATTTGATTTCTGAACACTTTTTAAGCAGACTTACGTGAAAATCACAAGAGGCAAATTTAGAATAATCACATGTTATTGATAATAGAGCTGCATTTCACGCTTGTGCATTGTTCTAAAATTACTTCACAACAATTAGCGTACTAATCAGATTGTTAAACCATTGGGTAAATGGAAATTCATCATGAAAAGTTGACTGTCACAACAACTTTCTGAAAGGGCGGATAAATTGAGAAAAACTCAGCTTTCGTCAATAAGGGTTGGGTTTCTGATAAAGGAGATGGGGAATAGCAACGGATGAATCAGGAAAGATTCTGTCTGTTGGGGTTAGTGATGAAAAGGTTGGGAGAAAGCAGAGGATGAATTGGCACGATTTTGATCACAGGATGAAACGAAAAAGAGCGAATCAAGAAATCCTCCTTGTTTAACGATGTCCAGCTTCTACTTCGTGATTTGGAAAGATGAAGGAACGCAGAATTGGGCAATATGACCCACCCTTTACAGAGATTACCAAGATATTTTTGTTTAACTGTACGACATTACGAGGAAGATTAGAACCGGATATTAAGTGGAAGAGTAGAAATCCTTCTCTCAGCGGGTCCATTTCTAGAAAGAAAATAATTGCACATTGAGCTATATCGGATGCGCCTGATAATAATAATAATAATATCAACGATGTCTGCCCTGTCTAGATGGAAGGCAACGAGAAGCTAGCTAAAAGTATAGCTGAATCAGGATCTTCATATCGGCACGCCTAGAACTCAGTTAATGTCAGTTACGTGATCAATATTCTATTGAAAGAAACTTTTTTTATTATCCTATACATCAAAGCAGATAAAAATTTAACAATTATTTTATTGTTGCATAAGGAAATAAAAAACACTTTTCTATTTGAAAGAAATAGAAGAAAATCGCAACTAGTACTTTAAAAAGATGCATAATGGAAAAAACCCAAGTTTTATGAATGATAAAATATTTTCGATTATGAATGTCATAAAT